ATAATAATAATAATATTAAGATTGACGCATAAATATTTCGATTAGCTTTCCTGGCTAGTCAATAGAATTTGATCTGCTTTGAAAGTTGTTATCAAAGAAATCCCTTTTATTGTTCTGTGAAAACTCTACATTTTAGGCAAGTGTATTTGGTGCATATGAAACATGCCAATGTTTGTTGGCCCATACGAATTGAGTTCACTCTGTCCGGCCTGCCCCCAAAATGCCAGCCAAGCAAACCAAGTGCACTATTTATAAGCATGCGCCCTTTCCTGCCTGAACATCTCTGAGAGCCGCCGAGTAGAAGACGAAGATTTGGCATTTATTTTTGTCATGCCCAAGGCGTGACAATTAGAAAAGATTATGGAGTTTTATGGCCAAGTCTAGGGCGCGTGGGCGGCCGCAAATGGCGCCGACGACCCGCAGACAACAACTGCCATAGGATAGAAATGTCGTTGTTGGTTCAATAGTTCTCGACAAACATACATACATATATACTCTATAGTATAGTATATATAGAAAGGAACAATGGCGTGCCTCAAGTTCATTAGGCGGCTGAATTTCCTTTGGCACGTGCAATAATCGAAGATAACATGTTGCATAAGAGTCGCTGCCTCCGCTGACGTCATCGGGCCAACTGTCAACTGTCAACGGGAGCTGGAAGCTACGGCGGATGCTGCGGCATATTGTGATTTATTACGGTTAGCATCAAGTTGACTTCAGCGTCGAGCAAATGGGATCGCGCCATCTGATATAGCAGAGACACAGACAGTGAAAGAGATACAACTACAGAGATACAGATACACATACGCAGTTCAAGATACATATACATCTATATATGTATGTCTATACAGACAAACAGCAACCGAGCAGAGACACTCAAAAGTGCATTCGCATTTCAATTAAAAACAGAAGCAACCCAAAAAAGAAAAAAGAAAAATCGAAAGGAAACTATAAAAGAAGAATGATAGCTGAGCTTTGGAAGAAAACGAAGTCGAGATACCCTATATAACAATTGTGCTTAGACATGGGAGCTAAAAAGAGCAGAGTTGATTCATATATGTTGGCTTAAGATTTATAAATTATCTAATATTATATAAATTATTCTTATATAAATAAAAGCCGAAAGGAAAGTAAATCCTCGTAAGACTGCAGCAACCAAAAAATGTTCCGGATAAAATAAAATATTTTATTTCTAGGTACTTTAAAAAAATTATAAAGCAATACACTTTTATATCTTTAATCAAAATAATTCAATCTTAATCTCATAGTATATTTTCTTATTGTCAATGTATAAACAATATAAATAATACAATAATACAATTTATATAAAATAAATCATGTCTTTATCTAATATTAAATCAAACATTTTTAGAGAATTTTTACTTTTTGTGAACATAACTACAATTTCCAGCTACAAATAAAAGCTGAAATTATTTTAAACACATTTTAAAGTTATTTTAAATCAAATCTGAAGAGATTTTCTAGTTTTGTAATTCAATTTAATTTGTCATAAAATTTGTATATGATTTACAAATTCATATAAAAATTTTATGGCAAATTAAATTGAATTACAAAACTATGAAATCTTAGCAGAGTGCAGATATGCCCCACTTTAAAAATAAACCCAGGAGCAATTCAATGTGTCTCCAACTCCATTGCCAGCTGTTTATTTATGTGTGTCGCCTGCAACACGAAATGTTGCTGAGATCGGCAAATGCTGTGAATTGTGTGCGATGCGACAATTGCAACTGCAGCTACTGCGGCTACCTTTTGGGGCGCACTTATGCAACTGTACATTGGCCATAATAGGGCATAATTATATATATATATGTGTGGAGCCGACGCCCGAAATCTGTTGCGATTGTTGATCAATGGAAAGCGCCAAGACAGGAAGCGCGACTGATTGACTGATGACAAAAGGAAGTTGCAGAGTGCAGAGATATCAATTTGCCAATTGGCAAGCGTAAAGACAACAAATGCTAGCAAATATATGGAGCTAAGTGAAAGATATCCGCAAGCAGGCAAAGTTCAGCAACATTTGTGCGGCGCCTTTAAATAAATCAGTTGCAAAGACTGGCTGAGGTGGGGATTAGGGATTTACAAAGAATAGCCGCCTTTGTTGGCTGTCGAGTTGTCGTTGTTGTTGTTGTTGTTGCAGTTGCTGCAACACCCACATGCAAGAGCAAACGCTGGCAGCTGGAGTGCAGCTATTTTTAATTAAATGCAAAATATGCGCCCGCAACATGCTGCCAGCCAAAGCTGCTGCTGCTGCCCGCTAGCAACATGCTGCGAGCTTAAATGTTGCCGATGTCGTCGCATTGCCTCAAATGTTGCCCGCGCTCAGTTGGACACAAAACGCCGGCGCGTCAAGTTGAGCGAAGGGCGCGCGCGCGATTCCCTTGCATGATGTGGCATTTAAAAATAAAAATATAACGAAATAAGAATAAGAGAAAATAAAATAGAAAGAAGCAGCAACAAAAATACAAAATGAGCAAGAAAATGTGGCACAAAATATTCAAATCAAAGTCGCAGAAGCAGCAGCAATTGAGTAAAATCAATAAGCGTCACAGTCGCGGCATCTACGAGGAGTATCAGCAATTAAACGAGCTGCTCAATGGTGAAAAATCGCAGGCCGGGCGCTTTTCCAGTGAAAATGAAAATGAAAACGATAACGAAAATGGCAAAGCCAACGGCAACAGCAGCGGCAGCGGCAACATCAATGTGTTCGAGCAGCAGCCGCTGCAAAGTTCTTTCAACTCGCTGGCGCTTAGTGAGGCGCAACAGCAGCAGCAACAGTCGCAGCAGCAGCAGCAACAGCAACAACAATCGCAACAGCTGTCAACATTTTCGCGCGTACGCAACACCTTCTCACTGCGACGCAACAGCAGCAGCAACAACAACAACAGCAGCAGCAACAAGAAGCAAACGCCCAATGCCAAGTCAAGTGAGTCGGCCACGCCCACGCTTACGCCCACAGCTGCGGGCGCTGGCCAGCTGCAGCATGTTTTGATTATAGTCAATCAGATCGATGTCGCTGCAGCAGCAACAGTTGCCCCAACAGCACCAACAACAACTAATACCGCTACTAATTTGCATGCCAACCAAACAACAACAACAACAACAAGTAAATKTCTAGCAATTGATCAACTATTGTTTGTAGCTGTTAATTGTTTAAACGATATAAATGATGCACTGAGCGATTGTCAATTTGTTAATGGGAAAGTGGCACAGAGTAGAGAATATCGTAGAGGCATCAAAGTTGAGAAAGGCTGATGGAATGTGGAATGTTGCATCGAGACTATATGTGATATATATGTGTATACTTTCATCTATTCTAAATTTTATAAGAGATATATTATATAGGAAGTATAAAAAACTATGTGCATTACCAGATATCAAAATTTCAATTATTTTGCAGTCTAATATTCTTAACATAAACTAACAAACTTTGCACTTAACTTAAGTAACTCACATGTATATCTAACAATATTTCTATTCATGTTGCATTTATCTTAAGTAACTCTTAGTATTGCTTCAATTTGACCATAATTGTTCAGATTTATGGTTTAATCTCATTGACGGTTCTGTGTCCCATTTTGCTATGGACCTTTCGATGAATTTTTCCAACAGTCTTATCAGCAAGAATACAACAAATGATGTCATGTATATTTACTTTTCGTAAATTGACAAGCAAATCGAAGAGGCAGCCATTACTCGCAGGAATACTTTCAGTAAAGCTTCTAGGCATAATATATAAAAATATATGCATATACATAAATAAATGTAAATATACACATATGTCATTAGACATTTTAGACATATTTAGTATTTACATACTTACATATATGTACTTCCTAACTGTACTTTCCAGTTCTTATGCTACTTTCAAACTGTCACAAGTTGAAAGTTCAGCCCATATAAGCACCAAGAATATGTGTCGCAGAACCAACTCGTTGGCCAAGGTCCCAGCTATATAAACATATCGTCATACATGGGCTATGCATGAAAATGTTGCCTCACTCTAAATTAATGGAGGCGCGTCCGAATTAAATGTCTTATAAGCTTGCCCAATGCTAAGCAATAACAATTGCTGCAAGCTCTCAGATCTCCGATCTCAGGCAGCTTTAGCTGGCATAGATTATATTTGTTGGGAAATACTAGATCTTGGGAAATATAATGGAAATATAAGATCTTATATTATGATAGTCTATACCATAAACTGGGAATATATAAACAATTATTGTTATCTTATCATACTTTCTATTTTGATCTAGAACTGCTCAGTTCTACCGATCTTTCCGCTTTACTTTCTTTTAACTTTTACTTAGACACGTACAATATATTTCCAATTATCTATACCTTAGATTTGATCTAGTAAACTTACGAACTCTTGACCTTTGAGCATTTCTACAGATGTTTCTTCTTCTTCGTTTGCTTTTGCYATCTTCACAAATCAAAAATCTGCTTAGACCTCAGAGACTTGAGACTTGGGCGCCCTGCTGCTGATCAGTCAGTTGTTCCTCTTTTTGGCGCTGCATTTTATTTATAAAACTCAAGTGGAACTAGTTGAAAGATATGCATAGAGTATATAATCTTATAATGGCCAGAGTAGCCCTGCAGCCAGTACATGCTGTCTGCATTTGGCAAAGGCGAGTTTGCTAAGCATCATTAACATATGTTTGTATTGTGGTGCTGCGCGAGTGGTGCTGTCATGTGCAACGAATGCCCCACGCCCACACCCACACTCACACTCACACTCACACTGACAGTCAGTGTGGAGCGGCAGCAGTCCATCCATTGAGGCAGTCACTCACCCACTTCTCATCGGATTACGTATTGATTTGAATTGGAATGAATGCGAACGAGTCGAGCTTCGAGTTCCCTCAGCTCTCAACTTGTTGCAGAAATTAATGCGTGTCGTTGATATATGTTATCGTTGGGCCTGTGCGCATTATAATTGGATTCTCTCGGAATAATTATTGTTGTATTGGCACCCAGTGCGGCTCCTATGTCATTATTTCCAGTGAAAGACAAAAGAGCGAATTCCTATTACATCGAAATTCTCAACGGCTCACGCAATGTTTACCTGGCGCCGACTGGCACAGGTGCCACAACTTTATAATTGTCTATATGGGAGTCATGTTCGTTTTTTTTTTTTGTTTTTTTTTTTTTTTTTTTTATAAATATCCTATTAGAGAAGAGTTTAAGTCTAAGTCTTATTTGTATTATTTTCATAATATCGTTTGTTTAGTATTTATAGGACTGAGTAGTAGTATTTATGGGTCAGATAGCTATGCTATGCTATGATAGCATCAACAAGATCTGAGCTCTGAATGCTTGGAACTGCACTTGCTGCTTACCAACTGCAATCTCTTTTCTGAGCTGTCCATCTTCTGGGACTGGAGTCCATTTTTTATGTGCTCCCATAGAGCACGGTCCTCATAGCTCTTGTTTCCTGGATAGAAATATTGGTAGAAGTATTCATATGAGTATTAGTATTTCTAATCAGATTCATTCATCCGTAGAATCTCCAATGTTTCGTGTTAGGCCCTCAATAGAAAATAGTATTATAATTAGTATTAACTTTCATCCTAACTAATATAAATTCAATTGTTAAAAAAGACATAAATCAAATTAAAGCGCATCCCCCTAAATTCAGCTCTATGAACAAATAAAACCAGAGATTCTCTCATTGTTATTTTGGGTTCAAATTCAGTAAATCAAGAAGTCAAGTGGGCTGAAACGCTCGCCAGAGCCCCTGTGAGCGCAGTTCGTATCTTCAAGATACAGATATAATAATGTCGCCCACCAAAATCGCGACGAACTCAACAGTTTGGCTCAAACGAGCTGCCAAAGTTGGACATTACAACATTTCATGCGGCAGATAAATAAGAATTTATGGGCCAATCGCACAGTCAGAGGCAGCCAAATGTGGACACAATCCAAATAATAACAATAAATTATTACTGAAATGTTTTTGTCTATTTTTTTATTTTTTGTTATTTTGTTATATATAGTTATTTGGTTTGTTTAGTTGTTGTCTATTGTCTTGCCAGTCTGAGAATTTACAAGTTAACTAAATGTTGTTGCTACTGCAACTGTGACAAATGATGCCGGAAAAGCAATTTGTTTACGAAAAGCAAAGCAACGGCCATTCCATGGAAATGCGACTGGCATGTGATATGAAAATATTTGCCATGCAGCAAGTGCAACTGCAAAGTTTTAGGGTTTCTGGCCCAAGTCTAAGCCGTGCCACTTGGCCAAAGGCCAACAGTCTGCAGACGGACTTGGCCTTTTACTCGGCTCTGCCTTTTGATTTTCACTTCACTTTCTTTTCGCGCCTTCAAGTTGACTTTAACATTTGCTGAAAGTTCCCCAATGAAATTGACAATGATTTAGGAATGGAACTAGACTGCAGAGCAATATATCCAATCTATCTTGATATATGCATAAGATAACTTTCTTATTATTCTCATAAATATCGTTCTACTCAACCAAAAAACACTCTTCAGATAAATGTATTCCACTCAGCTCCCACACAACATGCATTGCCTTTAAAATCAATTTGACTTGAGTGGAAATCTGATTTGAACGAAGAAGGCGAGCTCAGTTAAGTTTTAGATTTGTTACTTTTGCCGAGAATTGTAAAATTTAGTTTTTAGGTTTCAAGCCATACAGAATCTACTACAGTCTCTACAGACATTGCAAAAGTTTCCCAACAACAACATCAATCGAAGCCTCACAATCCAATAATAATTCAAATCCATTTTTTTAATTTCCAATCCATTGTAATCAACTACGAACAACAACAACAACAACAGCCACAATGGATTCCGATGGCAATTTGGATGATGAGCCAGTGGGTCCCAAGCCGGGTCCACTCACCACAGGCTTCTCCGAGATCATACAGGAGCAGGAGGTAGTCTGTAGCGGCCAGCTACTAGCCTGTCCCAACTGCAGTCGCACCTTCAATACGAATGCACTGCGCAAACACGTCGTCGTCTGCGAGAAGATGCTGAAGAAGCGCAAGGTCTTCGACTCGTCGCGTCAGCGCCGTGAGGGCACATCCCTGTCCACCTATGTGCTGCCCAAGAATTTCGGGCTGCCCAATGCAGAGAAGGCGCCGGGCGTACACACACCGCCCTCAGCCAGCCGCGAGGCGTCCACCGTGTCGAGCAGCGGAGTGCCGCATGAGGTAAGCAACCGAAAGACGGTGCTCCATATTCCATATTCCATATTCCATATTCCACTATTTGTTCTATACTCTTTGTTCTACATTCCATATTCTATATTTGCAGGCCTCGCCACTATCGATACGCCGTAAAAGCAAGACGGATATGACGCGCGCTTCCTTGCGCAAGGGAGCCGGCGCCACTACAGCTACCGTTGGTGTTGCTGCTGCCGGTCCTGCTAATGCCGAGCCTCAGGCAACATCAGCGGCATCTGCAACCGCTCCGCCAACATTGAGCCGTGATCGTACACGTGCCTCAGACCGTTCCATAACCAGGCGCATCAAGGACACCGCCACGGAGCACTGTCCGCACTGTGAGCGCAACTTTAATATCAAGGCTTTCGATCGTCATGTGGAGTGGTGCAAGGAGAAGGCCATTCAGGCGAACATCAAATCCAACAATACCGCGGAGACAAACAAGGCCAAGGAGCGCATGGAGGCGCGCAAGAAGTATCGTCCACCCAATCTCAAGTAAGAGAACTTTTCTACCTCACCTTTGTAACATTATATAATTTTTGACATCTCAGTGGCTTTGCTTTACCTTTCATGTTATTCCTATTACATATTAATCAATTGTATTGTTTCAAATCTTTCAAATTTTTCCCTTTGCTCTCCCCAGAACCAAGCGCTCTATCAATCGGGACAAGTACTCGGGTGCCCAGGAGGAGCACTTCGAGCCAGAGCCAGTTGCTACGAAGCAGAATTTAATGACACTCTCCACCATGACGTCGTCCGTACAAAGTGATAAGTGAGTATTATTTATTCTTAGTGTAAATCATTTGATTCGTAGACTAGCTAAACCAATCTGATTGGCCCATCTGGCGTTGCTATGGTTGTCGTTGATTCTGCAGTAATGTTGTGCCCAGTAGACACCGTCGCGTAGTATTTGCTCACAAAGTATTCGTAGGACATGATCTTCTTCGATATCATCCATTCATCCATTGACCCCACTCCACACCCAACAACAACTTAGCTCACAAAGAAATGCACCGCAGCAGCGTCCAGGAACGCCACAAGGATTCGATGCACCCAAGGGGAAAGCATCGATGGGCCAGAGCAAAGCGGCAGCACGCATGCTCACCGAGGAATCGTCGAGCGTTGTCTACCACGAGCATGGAAGACGCAAACTGCAGTACGATGCTTGCCAGGAGATCGATGAGGCCGTGGAGCGCCTGCGTCATCCATCCTACGAGCAGCTGGCCCAGTTGGATTGCGTAGAGGCGGCGCACCTGCAGCCAGCCCGATCCCATCGTCGACCCTCGCCCCATCGTTCGAAGTTCGACTCTACCGAGTGCATGGCCGGGCAACCCCAAGTCACGATGACTTTCGAGGAGCTCAACGGGTTGATCAAATGCAAAGGTAGGCTCGGTAACAGTTGCAGACCCAGCCTAACTGGAACAGTGGAATCGGCATCAAGTTATCTATTTTTCTTTTTGTGTAATGCTCCACTTACCACTCCGTCCGTCCCAGAGCCATAAGGTTCATAGGGTTCTGCAGGCCCCATGGCGTGCCTAAACTTAATTAACTTCAAATGATTTCATAATTAGTTTCCTAAGTTGCGGAACAATTTGATGGTTCTTAATTAATGCGCAGCGTATTTAAGCACTTAGACGATCAGCCAAGCATAGAGCAGCATTAGTTGCACTCCATAGGAACCCAGAGAGTTGGAAATAGTTCAAAGAGTGGAGAATAGAATATAATTGATGACTAGCAATAGTATAACTGTAGCAGAAATGGATAATACTGAGGGAGAGATTTAACTAGGGTTTTGCAAAGCAAAAATAAGTTCAATCCAGATATTGAAGGATAGGAAAAGAGAAAATTCATTTGGTTGGGAGACTTAGGGAGATTTACCAGAAAGTCCGATACATACATCCACTTAGATATCTGTCTTATGAATCCCAAACTTTTAATACGCACGCTGCACCACCACCACCACACGCAGGTGCCACAAACATTTGCAACATTCAAATGGATATTGAGGAGCAGGTGGCGCCCAAGGTGCGCACATCCACATCGCTGGTGCGTCAGGCGCGTCGCCGCATACGCACCCAGGAGAACCCCAATATTCCTCTGCGCCAGCTGGAGCCACCGACCGAATTCATGGATCAACATCATCATCAACGTCAGCGCTCGTCGCACTCCCCAGCCTCGTTCCGTCGCATTTCCAACGATCGCTACTCGGGCTCCGAGAGCGAGGATGCTTTGCCGCATGCTGAAATACAGATTAAGATGGAGACGAGCACCATCCAAAGCCTGAGTCGTCCGCGGAAGCGCATTCAGCTGCCGGTCATCATAAATAGCTCGGAGCCAATGCGCGCTCTGCCTCTGCCTCTGCCTCTGCCACCGGCCAAGCAGAAGCTAGAGGCGAAGGCCGACAATTTTCTGCCGGCGATTGATATGAAGGGCGAGGTGCAGACGGAGATGAAGTCTGATGAGGAAGCTGAACAGGATTACGATGAGGAGGACATAGAAGTTGGCAAGCTGCTTAGCAAGGCCAAGCTACTCGAAGGCCAATACGATGACGATATCGATGACTCTGTCTACGGCGAGGTGGAGCCGCCCGCGGCGCCAGCCAGCGTCAAGAAGCGCGCGACACCAAGCAATGTTAGCCGCCGTCTGGTAGTGCTGGAGCAGGACGAGGAAGGCACCATGTACATCAAGGCACCGCGCTCCCCAACCAATAGCAAGAAATCGGCCAAAGCGCCCATCAAGAGGTTTGTTCCTTAATGCCCCTCCCCACAGACGACAGCCAGGCGACGCACAGACCGGGCGGGCTAATCAGATCTCTAGGATCATAACCGTTTAATTGTTCCGATTGCTCTATTCTATAATTCTTTTTCTTCTAAACAGCGGCCTCAATCCGTCGACTAGCGACAAGTACGATCCGTTTTTGTCCGCCAAGCGCCAGCTGGAGGAGCTCTGCTCGCCCAGTACCCCACCCGACAACGAGCCACTGGTCCACACAACAGCCACACCAGCACCCACACCGACAGCCACACCCACAGCCATCATGTCCACCTCGCTGACTAGCTCGCTGGGCAAAGCGACGACGCCATCCACGACGGCACCGAAGGGCACGCCCACATCCAACTTTCGACGCACTTCGTCCCTGCGCGGACCTCGTCGCACACCATTGCTGCCCAGCCGTCCGCTCTTTGCCACCAACTATCGGCCCACCATCCAGCGCGGCCTCTCCGACGAGGGTCCCATCTCGAGCAACTTCCTCAAGCCGGAGGAGTACGACGAGATGCCCGTGCGTGCTGCGTGCGGCAATGATTTCCACAGTCCGCGCGTTGTGCGCCGCGATACGAGCAACTCGAATCGCAAGCAGCAAATGAAACTGCCTCTTAGTGGCGACACTGAACCGGACAGCACTTCTACGTCCAAGCAGCAGCAGCAGCAGCAGGCGCCGCCGGCACGTAACGTGGCCAAGACGGACTCCTTAGCCGTGTTCCTCAAGTACGAGCACGAGCTGGAGCAGCTGAATGCGAAGGCTGCGGAGGTGGCTGCCAATAGCAAAGAGCTGAGCAGCAAGGAGCTCAAAGACAAGAGCAACAATCTGAGCAAGCAGAACTCGGCCAAGAGTCTAAATGCCAACTCAAGCAGCGGGCAGCTGCCGCCGCTAACGACGCCCATTTGTCCGCCAGTGGCCAAGGAGAACAACGAGAACGTGGCACATAACTTTGCCACGCCGCTGCGCCTGGACCCCATCGTCAAGCCGCCACAGAATCTGATCAACAACAGCAACAGCAACAACAACAACAGCAACAGCAATGGTGGTGGCAATGCGGTACCGTCGCCCATCAAGCTGGAGAGCATCTTTGGCAGCAATCGAATAGCCGATTACATAGATCCCAAGCTGATCAATCCTTGCGATAATCTGCTGGTGCAGCAGTCATCCACTGGTTCCTCCGATGCCAGCTCCACGCCACAGCAGCTATCGCAGAGTCGCAGCAGCTCGCAGTCAACCATAACGATGGGGCAGGAGCAGCGCCGTCATTCCGGCGAGGCGCGTAATCTGCTAAAGCGTAAGATGCGCCTCGGACGCAATCAGTTTCTGTACGATGCTTCGCCAGAGGAGGCGTACATCTCGTCCGGCAGCTGCGCTGATGATGAGGCCAATCGCTCATCGCTGGAGTTTGACGAGCAATGCTGGCAGCAGCAGCAGAAGCAGCTGCTCTCCAATCCACTGAAGGCAATGCCGCTGACGCTGCCCAATATGCCAGTGCTGCCCACATTTGATGACTTCGACTTTGAGGAATTTCTGTCATCATTCGAGAACGAGAATGATGACGAGCAATTTCCGCTGTTCCGCGACTGTCGCGAGTTCCTGCTGAATCGCACGACGAGCCGACACCGCTCGTTCCAGAAAGCGACTTCAACGCCACAGCCACAACCACAGCCACAGCCACAACCACAATCCCGTACACAGACACAACCACCGACGCCGACAGCCACACAAAGACCAGCGACGACCTCTGGCATTGGGTCTCAGTTTATAACGCCACCTAAGACCCACTACTATACTTCCAGCACTAAAGAGCCTCATGCCCACAGGTCCAATTCGAATACATCAATTGGCAACGAATCATTCAAGTCTCCACAGGCCAGCACTGGCTCCTACAAGACACCAAATGGCAGCGGTTCCTACAAGACATCGCCGACTACCGCCTTCAAGTCGCCGTTGTCCAGCAGCGATGAGAAGCTCGACCGCCAGCTGTCGAATGTCTCCGCCACCAGTAGCAGCAGCAACTGCTACGTGGAGAAGACGCAGAAGTCTGTGGACGAATCGAAGAAACGAGAAATCTTTATTAGCATTGAAACAGAGGCCAATGCCCAGGGGCGTTCGCCCATATCACCGGACTCTCTGCGTCACATGGTTGGCAATGCACAGACGCCCATTGATGTGTTGCATATTGAGAACGGCAACGAGCCGGAGCATGCCAAGTTTAGTAAGATCAGCGACAACGAGGATCAGATCGATGATGAGACTAGTCGCGCTCATTATCCGAATCGGCTGAGCCCAGCTGTGACCTCGCCATTGCCCAATGTCGAGGCAAACAATGCGAAGAATGTGATAGAGAAAATGCGTAACGATTTCAAGCAGCTGGGCGAGGAGGCAAGCGCCTCGGTGCGCCGCGATATCTTGCAGCGTCAGGAGCAAGCGCAGCAAAAGCAGCAGATGCCAACACAGCAGGAAGTAAAGGGAATGACGCCATCGCCATCAGGAGATTCAGATGAATTAAGTAGCCTCGATGGATATCCAATGTCCTCATCGCAATCCTCACGTCGTGGCGGTAGCTCCAAGCTTAGCACCGACTCAGCTTATGGCAGGTTAGTCAAAATGGCTTGATGTATTGATATATGTATGTATATAGTAAGTGGGATAAGCACATTGATATAAGTTAAAAATTTTAAATTGTATTAAACCTTGTCCGTCCGATTAACTATATATCGGGACGTTAATTTTAACAGCAAATTTGTAAAGTTAACATTGCTGAACAGATAACATAGTTTACTTACGATAGGAACGACTTATATCGATAAATGACTCGCATGCAAATTTAAAGTCACTTTGATAAACGATATTTTTTTAACTCGTTACTTAACTGATTTTTGTATTACTTTTTATTGGCAATCCTACAGCAGCAACTCTCCATACTGTCTGTCCCGTCAACGCTCCACTGAGCTGCAGTCGAACATGAGCACACCGCGTACACCGAGCCAATTGCGTCCACACACGGCCAGTGGAGCCATCGCAATGTCCACCAAGCAGCCCAGCAACATGATGGATGCCTCAACACAGGCACAAAGCAACTATGGCACATTGAAGGCGCGCCAGCGCATGTTTGCACCGAATGGTCTCGGCATTTGTAACGATTCTGGCAATGGCAACATGGAATATTCCAGCAGCAGCTCAGAGCAGCTGATGCAACAGCAACAGGAGCAACACCAACAGCATCACAAGCAAAACACAAATTACAACTACATACAGCAGCCGCAGCAGCAGCAGCAGCAATCTCTGCCTCAGGTAGCCAACAATAACAGCAGTAACTATGAGCTAAACGCATTGAACTTAAAGAACAACAATTGTAATAGTGTAGGTGTTGGTTTAACACCTACAACATCTCAGCACTCGCTGCAAAGCAACAATTCGAATGTTTCTGTGAAAATGTCCAAGTTCTGCCACGAATGTGGCGCCAAATTTGTGCTAGAGCACGCCAAGTTCTGCATGGATTGCGGCGTTCGACGCGTCGTGCTCTAAGTTCAGCAAAAAAAAATAATAATAATAATTATACATACATACAGACAAACAAATACACACACACATGTACACACACACAGAGATACACAAATTTATACAAAGCGCTGCTGAGGTGGGAGGGCTAACCTGGGTTAGTCAAGTTGAAGCGGTTAGTGGGAAACGTAGTGGAGGTTCTTATACCAAATGTAGTTATTACATGCAAGAAATTTTTGAGAGATAATCGATATACATATATATCTATATGCTTACTTAAATATATATTTTAATAATAATAAAAATAAAAACAAAAAAAAAAAGCCAAACTTAAAAAACCATCAAACATGCAATATTAATTATAAAATGATTAACAGGCAACATGGCATTTGTTTTCCAATATTTCTTAATTTTATAATAATTGGAAGTGTTATTTTCTTGTCATTTATTAAAGAAATATAACAAAAACACTTTTAACCAAGTTGTTGATTAACAAAGACTGAACGAATTTAAACGAAAGTAAAAGCATCGAAAGCACACGAAATAAAAAGTCGAAAGCGAAACGAAATCAATTACTAGAATATATATATATTATTAAAAACAAACAAAAATAAACATCTACGAAATCTAACGCAAACACACAACATTGTATTTGTATTTTGTAAACAGTTTACTAATTTTATAGTCACTGCTTAAATATAATCGTATATACTTATATAAACACTATATTATTTAACTCGACTTAAAAAAAAAGAGTTAAAAATAAATGATTTTGCTTCACACATGTATTTCAAATTGGTTTATAATTGTTTTTGAGAATGTTTGGTAAAATTATAAAGGTATTTTCAAATTACAGAAAATTCATTCTTGGCATTCACTAAAACAAAATATTCAATTCATGGATGTCATCCCAATGGGATTATTAAAGTTGTTATAAAATTCATGTTTTTTATAAGTACATTTTCTTTCTTCACAGAAGTGAGAGAACTCTCGACAGGCGTCCGAAATATAAATTGTGCTCCAAGGATCCATTTACATGACAGCACATATATATATATTATGTTAATAAACACTTAAATTTCTATGATTTATGCACGCATTAAAAAAAATTAAAAATCTACGTTGAGCTGATCCAGCAACTTTAATCTTGACATAAGTAAATATATACTGAAAAAAAAAAAAATACAAATATAAAAAGGCAACGCAACAACAACAAATATTGAATTGTTCCAGTTCAACAAAATGGCTTGCCAATTTGATTTTAGAAAATGGGTTTGAAATTCACGTTGGTCTTAATACTTCTTAAAGAGACGTCGAATGAATTCTCTACTTGAAAAAGAGTCAAAGAGAGATGTAAATTAGTAACTCATTCTGAACTTACTGCAACTGCAGCAGCTTTTGTTTAGTGAATTCTGAGGCTGCAGCGCAGGCTAGTAAGAAGTTGGAATGAACCGTAATCTTCTCGGGGCTAAGTAGCGTTAGATTAGCCATGGCGCTGTTTAAATTTCCTATAGATATTGAGTTGGGACTATTACTTGACTGAATGGATGTACTCGAGCTGCTGCTTTCAGTAAGCGATTCAGTGGCAAACGAATCGCCACTGTTCCTGCTCTTTCTCTTGCTTCTGTCATCTGTGGAAGAGTCAATTTTATTATATTTGTAATACGTGTAGTTTAATAGCTTACCTGTTCCATTTCCATTTCCATTTTCATTTGCTTTTGCGCCGTGCGGGCTCTTGGGAAAAGCTACGGGAATATCTTGTGGCATTTTTGCATACCAAAAATTATCTTCCTCATCTGATTCACATTGATCATCAACAACATCGTCGTCTTCGACTAGATCTTTGAGGAACCGTGGACGCTGCTCTCCATTCCTCTTCTTGAAAATGTAGTTGCCATGCAACTTGCACTGGTGGATGACGTAATTGATGTCGCGATGATGGCGCAGCGTCACCGGATTGCCAATAAGTATCATCAGGGACTTGGCGCGCGAGAGCAGCACATTCACACGACGTGGATTACGCATGAAGCCGATGTTCGCAAACGAACGCACAAGCGTGGCAATTATAATGGGCTTCTCGCGTCCCTGATAGTTCTCCACGCTACCCACCTCCACATCGTAGTAGCCCTGGTCGCGTAGTAGCTCGTTGAGGAGCTTACACTGTGCCGCATACGGTGCCACGATGCCAATATCCGTCTGCTGTATACAAACACCGCCGCCTAGGCCGAAGCTAAGCAAACGCTGGACATACCAGCAGACCACCTGTGCCTCCAGCATATTCAGCGAACTAGTGGAGCGATCCTCGCGTCTGGTCACGCCATGTGTAGCTTGGAATAAAATCGGGAAATTGGAATTGGACAGCATTCGCCAATTAGCCGCTAAATTGACCTGTGAGGGCGGCGCCTGTGCTATGAGCTCATTATTGTAGTAGAGCTTATTAAACAGTCCGACAATGGCCGGATGGGATCTATAGTTTTGACGCAATCGTGTCTGCAATGTGTGATCATAATTCCCATTACCGTCCACGGCGTACATTTCGCAACGGAGCAGACGCTCCATCAGCGAATGGCGTAGGCCCAGATTTGCAGCACGATTATTCTTAATAACGGCGCCCAGCTGCTTGTGATCGCCCGAAAGAATCACATGACATTCCTCCTGCTGCTTAATGCCCACAATACCAACGAGAGCCTCGGGCTCTGTTGAAGCGCCAGCCTCATCGATGAAGACGTGAGTAAAGAAATTAAATTTACCAACATTATCTGTTACCAGACGGCCCACAGTGCACAATGTGGCGACAATTATGCCATATTTGCGCAGCTTGTTCACACGCAAGTGCTCGTACTCATGCTTGGCACAATTGGAATGGCTTAGGAGCAGCGGCTCCACCGAATTTAGTCCCTTGGCGTAGACAGAGCGCGAGAACAGACGTATTAGCTGATGTTTCAGCTCGACGTCCTCGGTGACCAAACGCGACTCTTTAGCGCGCTTCATCAAGTGCGCCTGCAAACGTTCATTGCTAGCGAAATACTTGCATATTCTCACGGCAATTGTGTCACAGGCTGAGTTCGAACCAGCGGTAACAAGAATACGGCTTCGCGGCTGTCGAAGTCGCAACTGTAGAATGGCCTCGACAATGGTTGTTGTTTTGCCGGTGCCTGTAAAAGCAAAATGCAGAGATTGAGATAGAGGGAGAGATAGACGGAGAAGCTGTATCGCATATACCTGGAGGTCCAAATACAATGTAGGGCCCTTCTTTGCTGGGGCCATTAACAATCTGATGTACTGCCTGCAGCTGCTCCATGTTGGAGGCAATGGTATCGTTGAAGAGAATTATATTAGATGATAGATTCACTCGGGGCATCACGACCGGCAACGGCTTAGTCGGAAATAAATAGCGACGTAGGCAAGGACTCTCCTGCAGCAACTGCATCGCACGATACATAAAACGAAATGCTGTGCGGCGAGAGCGCAGAATTACAAAGTAAGGTTCCGTGAGAGATAAGTCCCCGTTAAGAGTGCCTCGTTTGAATTTCAGTTGAATCGAAGTGCGTGTCACTTGCTCAACATTGGCCACGAAACGGCGCTTTGGATTCTTTGATGGCAACGATTCGTGCTTATGCGGTAGCAGTGAAAGTATGTCATTTTTGGACGGAGGAGCTTCCTCCAAGCTAGCCTTGGGTATTAGCACTGCCTCGTCCACATTTGGAACAACCACGTCCTCTATATTGATATCTGCTTTACTACAAACCACAAAGCTATAGCATAGTTTACCGATTTTTCTCAAGTAGACTTTGGGCTGCATGAGCTGGGCATAAAGCTGCATGTTAGAGATATCCTCTATGTTAAGCAGTGTGCTCAGCACTGAGCAAACATTCTCCGAGTCTAGCTGCTGCGTCTGCAAATAAGAGCTAAAAGTTTTGTTGTCTACTGCGAGGCTTTCGTCGTTGAAGTCAGCGCTAATGGCCTTCAGCATGTTCTGACTAGGTTCATAATATGGCAGCTTGCACATAATGCCAATAAATCTACAAATCAAAAGGGAATATTTTCAATTTGAAATCATCTATATACATATGTACATATATATATACTATATATGAAAATAAAAACGCACTTTTGGGCTTGTTTTTGTTCCTCATCGTCTGAGCTCAAAATGTCGTCCTCATCGTCGCTAAACTTCTTTCGCATGCGTCCGTTTCTCTGAATCTGCTCCATTTGCCAATTTTTTACCAGGTTGGCTATTTGTGTTAATTTGAAATTCATCTGCAAAATAATCCAGAAATAAAAAATATTGTAGATGGCTTCGTTAAATACTTTAATTACCGTGTCCAATTCTTCTTTCAAGTTGCTCACGCTCATTCTGCAACTGAATATTATATATAGAAACACAAAGACAATACAAAAGAACAAATTTCACACGAAATATACAAAAAGTCAATTTCAACCGAAGACGCCACAAGTACCGTTACCGGCGCCATATGGAACTAGATCTGACACTGCTCAGCTTCGATCATTGCATAGCAATGCAGTAATTTTAAATTGTTTGCAACACTGTGCTTTAACGCTAATAAAGTTACGGCACTAATCAACGGTTACAGCAACTCAACCTCGACGCACTTTATAAAAAATACCTTTTTCATAATAAAAGTAAAAAAAAAACAACAAAAAAATACAACAAAAGAAAAAGTTTATTGTCACTTAATAGACTTACATTTGAAAATGCGAACCAAAGTTGAGGGCGCGCTCCGATATATGTGAGTGAAGTTGGCAGCAAATTTATTGGCACGTTAACTAACACCACCAATCGTGTTTCTATGCGACCATGTTAATATATCGATATCGATAAAACTATTATTATTTTCGTTTTTGTTTGCAATATTATTTATTATGATTTTGGAAAAACTGGCTATTGACCAGCGTATGCAAACGCAAAATCTTGTACATATGCTTCAAAATAGAGAATCGGGCTACACACGTAACAAATTAAGTCAAGCGCCCCAGCTATCGTACGAGCGCCAGTTTTACAAAGCAATTACGCCCTGCCTGACAGTTGGAATCGTCATACCTCCTGTTTACCTGCGCAAGTTTACTCCGGACGGTAGCAAATTGCTGGGTTTCTCCCATGATCAGCGTTCATTTATTGGTATGCTAAAGATATTTAATTATTTGCGAATTACAAACGAATATTCTTTGCAGTATATGCATACAAGGGCATCGGCGCGGCCGGCGTAAATCAGTTGTTCAGTGAAGCTGGCGTGGGCAGTAGCGAAACGTTTACCGGACCACACAGCCAGCATTTGAGAAACACAGTATTTGAGAAGCTGTTCAAAACGAAATACGTACTACGCCTTTGTCAAGGCGAATCGGCCCGTTTCTATCTGCATCGAGAGTTTAGTGTTTTCCTCGAAGACAGTCGCTATGTCCTGCTGGCCGGAATGTACGTGCTCCAGGGCTACAATTTGGCAGTCTCTGAATACGAGCGCTATCCGGACGTCTTTGACAAGGTCGATCCCTTCTCCTATATATTCTATGTTGTGGACCTGCAGAAGGGCGTTGTTACCGACGAAGTGCTTCTGCATCAAGAGTCAATTTGCTTATCCCACAATCACGGCATCTCGGTGCATGGACATACTATAGCAATCTTATCGCGTCTACGACAATGTATTTATATTTATGAATTGGTTAACGGTCGACTGATTAAACAAGAGCACGAAATAGGTCCAAGGCCGCTCCACTGCTGTTTTCAGGATGCGTCGTCAACGTTCATGGTGATGCTGGATGTGAACACCTTGCTGCCAATTACACACATTAAGCAGCGAGTACTGAGCTTTCTCTACCGTCAGATCGAGCCAAATAGTCCTCAAGCCAATCAAGAGTATCAGGAGTTTTACAAAAATTTTGAATTCGTGAGAAAGAAAGAAACACTTTTAGATACATTTGTTCTTAACTTTCTTTTTTTTTTTATAATTTCAGATAGAAAATATGATTATTGAAAAAATGCAGCTGGTGGACAACGATCTGCTGTTGCTGCGCTACGAGGAACGGCCGAAAGACAGCGAAGTCTCTATGCTATTGACGGGCGAGCCACAGCCTCCGCGACGTCTCTATGTCTTTTATAGCATGACCAGCGAGGATGTGTTAGGAGTATACCAAGATGATTCTATAGACTTGCTGCAAATAGTTGTGCAATTCCATGATAAGCTATGTAATGTGCGATCTCTACAAACGGGCGATGCACCGTCGTCCCCATCCTCGCACTTCTTCATGCAACAGAATTGGAAAAATAACAGCAAGTCACTGTCTTTCATGCGTCAGGCGGCGCTTCGTTATAATCCGACTGTGCCCGTCAGCACACAGAGTTTCTCAACATCTCCGTATCTCAATCACAATGTGTTTAACTATGATAATCTACTCATCTCTCCTCTTGAACGTCCCAAAGCCTGTTCCACAGAGCCAATCGTGTTCCGGGATCGTGCTACCAATTTGATCAAGTTTCGTTTCAACACGAAGGCGCAAAGGCCACCCAGTCAATTCACTCCACGCGAGCTATGCGCCTTCATCTGTCATCCATTCGAGCCGTTGGTTATTAGTATACAGAAATGCATGCATGTTTATTCCTATAAATTACATATTTACAACCACGAAACAATTGTTCAACAATTTTACAATTAAATGTAAAACTGAACTAAAATTCAAGGTAACATATAAAGTGATGTTATATAGTTTAATGCTCGGTTTTGTATATACACGTTAAATAATTTGTACTATTAAAGATTTGTTTTTAAAACACGAATTTTTGAATTGCTTGAAATAATTTTACTGCTGTTAATAACATTTTAACTGAGGAGTTGCCAATATCGATAGATTTTCCGTTGAAATTTATCGATGCTTTGAGCATTTCTAGCAAGAACATATGTTTTCTGTTTACTGGCAAAACACAGAAAAATGAGCGAGAATCAAAAAGCCGATAAGGAGAGAAAAATTAATGCAAATGAGGTCTTAATAGAGGAAATTGATAGTAATGATGTGCCAGAAAACGAGCTGGCACAGTTTGAGGTGACGGAACCATTGCGCGTCGTTGAAATAATTGACTTGGATGACGAGGACTCTATGCCGCCGTCCAATGAAGCCCTAAAAGCAGCTGATGAAGAAGGCGCCTTAATTAGACGCTATGTGCAGGGCGTGCAGTGCCTTGAATTTCCTGACTTCTGTACCAAGCTTGAGCCTGGCGATGAAGAGGATGACAGCGAGGCAGCACACTTGGCGTCCAAACAGAAGCATGAGAGTTATGAGCAAATACAAGAGGAGCCCAGTACAAGTGCTGCCGCTGCGGCAACCGCTTCTAAGCAATCAGCACCGCCGAAGACGCAGTCCAAGGGTTCGTTTGGTCGCGCTGCAGCTGGTGGCAGCTTGGGACGCCGCAGCCAATTGAGCGCCGCCTTGATGGGCCTAATGGGCGAGGCGAATCTCTCGTTTGCATACGGTCGTTTCGATGTAGCCGAACGAATTTGTATGGAAATCATACGTCAGAATCCGCTGGCCAGCGAGCCCTTCTACACGCTAGCCGAGATTTACGAGAATCGCGATGAGGTCAAGTTCTTGCACTTCTCCACAATAGCAGCGCATCTGAATCCGCAAGATCGCGATATGTGGATACGTATCTCGGATTTGCTGGTGCAGCAGGGCCACTTGACACGTGCCCGCATCTGCTACACGAAGGCCATCAGGGTGTTGCCCAAGGAGTATCTGCTGCGACAGCGCAAAGCGCAGCTGCTAGAGCGCATGGGGGAGACAAACGCAGCCATGTTTACGTATCTGAAGATGCTGCCGCTGATGCCGTCCAGCGAGTGGAGCTTGTGCCTCTCCACCGGCAAGAATGTGGCATGCTATTTCCACGAGCTGAAGAAACACAGCCTCGCTCTGGAGGCCATGGAGGGCACGTATGGTGTGTGCGGCGACCGCTTCACAAACGAGGATCTCAACATCTACCTCGAGCTGCTCATACTCAATAAGCAGTATATCAAGGTGTTGCGCTGTCTGCGAGAGCGCACCAAGCTAGAGCTGGAGACGGAACAGGAGAGCCTGGAGCTTATCTACTTTTGCCAAATACCCGACGACTATGTGCCCGAGCTGCGCGCCAAGCTCTGCGTCAGCCTTATCCACATGCACGCGCACCATCTGCTCGGCTACATTGTGCAGAATGTACAGGAGTATATAACGCCCACGGTGGATCGCGTGGAGTTGTACATGGACATCACCGAGGCTTTGATGCAGGAGCATAAGTATGCTGAGGCCATCGCCCTGATGCGACCCATCACAGACTCCGATTCCTTCGATTGTCCTGCCTTTGTTTGGCTGCGCCATGCCGAGTGCTTGCGTCAGCTGAATCGCACACAGGAGGCCATCCAGAGCTACGAGCGGGTTGTCCAGCTGGCTCCATACTGCTATGAGGCCAAATTTACGCTGTCGGCGTTGCTCAAGCAGCAAGGCCGACCCGAGGAGGCAGTCAAGGCTCTGGAGCAGTCAGGCGAGCAAGAGGGGCAGCCACTGCATGCGCGTCTACTGTACGAGCGCTGCATCATGCTGCAGCAGATCAATCGCATCGATGAGTTCCTCGACGTGGGCTATGTGCTGCTCAGCCGACACTCGATAAAGCTCAAGAACCGCGAGGAGATGATGGCCGCCTCGAATGGTGGCGGCGCCTATAACACCGAGGGCCTCAAGGCCATCTTACAAATGCGCAGCCTGGCTGATGTCTCGGGAGGTGCCGATTCCGAGCAGCAGGTATGTATATTTTGAGTATATATCTATGAAACTTATTTGGCTATATAATGATCTTCAGGAATTACACAAGAAATCCGCACCGGCCAATGCAGAGGGCTCCGATCTGACTATCAAGAACGAATACGAGTTGTTCTTGGAGCTGGTGCGCACGGCGCATGCGCATGGCATGCACAGCATCGTGGAGCGCATCTGCTTCGCCATGGTGACGACCAGACGCTTCACCTACTACCACTATGAGATTGAGCGCATCATGATATTGGGCTGTTACTTCAATCATGACTGCGCCATTGCCTTCTCCTATCTGCGCGAGCTGATTGCCAAGCACCCGGACATGATAAACTTGTGGAACATGCTGTCGCTGATGGTGCAGCAAGGCGACGAGGTGCGCTACTTTCGGTACGCTCGACGGCTGCTGGAGCGCCATCCCAAGGCAACGCAGCCCATGCGGCTCTTCCTGGGCCACTATCATCTCAATTGCAGCTCGTACAAGTATGCGCTGAATGCCTATGTGCCCATATTACGGGAGCAGCCTCATCCGCTGGTCGCTCTCTCTATAGCTGCTGTCTTCAATCAGCTAGGGCTACAGAAGAAGGTTCTGCGCAAGTCGGCAGCTGTCGCCCAGGCGGTGGCCTTTGCCCTGCGCTATGCGGAATTGCGAGCGGGCTGCAGTGTCAAGGGCAGCGATGTTCCCGCTACGTGTGCTGCCCAGCAGGAGATCTACTACAATATTGGACGCATCTATCATCAGGCAAACATTCTGCATTTGGCGATTGATTATTATGAGCGGGCCTTGGCCGCGCAGCATCCGCTGATAAAGCAGCACGAGTCGGTGCTGGGACTGCAGCATGAGGTGGCGTTCAATTTGCATCTCATCTATCGCAGCAGCGGCAACAAGTGGAAGGCGCGGCAGTGTCTAATGCGTTATTGTGTTGTTTAATTAATTAAGTTTTAGTTAGTAAAAATGATACTCTTTAAGTTTTAGTTTTAATTTTTAATTTTTTTAATATCGTAATAAATATGATACTCTTTAAGTTTTAGATTTAATTTTTTAATTTCGTAATAAAAATGATACCCTAACTTAAGTAATTCAAATTTGTAATTCTGTTAATATTAGCTATGTTAACATATTGCTGTTTAACAGCGTACTTGCCTTACAGCCAACATCATTCGTGAAAGTATCGATACTAGAGTCATCGATAATGGAGCAATCGATGCATCCATTGTTTGGGAGTGGGAGAGAGGCGAAGCTTGTTTCGCGTAATTTTTTGTAGTTTTCATGGCTGCAAAATGCAGAACTCCAAGGCCAAAATGGACGAATTTAAGACCAGGTTCATGGACCTGCTGCACAAACAGGTAGGCGCAACAAGCTGTCCATCTAACGGCCATAACAAACCTCTTCTTCGCAGACGAATCGACAAATGAAAATTCCAGCTATGGGCTTTTCCGATTATTTCATACAGACTGTCACAACGGATGCTTTGTCCACCACAACAAAAACAACAGGCGCAGCAGCTACAGAAAACTCAGAAGAAGAAGTTACAGATGGAGTACAAAAATCGGATCAAGAAATTCTAGAGAGCATCGAAGAGTGCTACTACAGCGCCGACAGCAATCCAGAGCTTTACGAACTTAAGGTAAGCATTAGCATAATTCTGAATTCATTAAGTTCTAATTGTGAGTCATTTTATAGAAAGTGCTTGCCGCTGGCATTGACAACCAGCTCATTGAGTCGACCATTGCACAGCTGCGCACTCAGCAAAAGGTGCTGACCAAACAGGTGTTGCAAAACATATTGGAACAGCGCAATGCGTGCAGCAGCGAGTTTCAGGCCATCAACGAGACCCAAAAGAAGCTGGAGGAGTCGCTGTGGACATGCCAGAAAGCGCGCTCCTACTTGAACTACGCACGCACAAATCTAACAACGACCAGCTTGGAGATCTTGGCCAGCTATCGTAAGCGCGAGGTGCTCAAAGAAGTGCTGGACACGCTGATGGCCATTAAGAAGTTGGTAAGTGGATTTATAATGGTTGCTTGATTGACTCATTTAACAATATATAACCTGGCAGCGTACGACGGATGAGGAGCTTCAAAAGCTGTTGGCAGACCACAACTATTCCGCCGCCATTGAACTGTTGCTGCAGTGTCAAAGCTCTGCGGCTGGCTTCATGCAATACAATTGCGTGCAGTCGCTGCACAAGAAGCTGCAGGAGACTATGCTCTTGATGGAGTATCAGCTGGACACTGTACTCAACGAAATGGTGCTGAATTTCGACATACGCAAATATGCCAAGTTGCAGGAGGCATACAAGCTGGCCAACAAATCGCTGATTGCCATGGACCAGCTGCACATCAACTACATCTCGGCGGTGCACAGCACGGTAAACGCTGTGGTGCGTGGCTACAGCGAGCCCAATGCGGAGGAGCAGCCGAAGCTGCTGTATGAGCAATTGTGCGAACAGCTTAGTGCGGACAAGCTTATACCCTGTTTGATTAGTTTGTGCAAGACCTTTTGGACCATTCTGGCCTCCTACTACCAGGTGGTTATGTGGCACAACAACTACAAGCTATACACACAACAGGAGGAGAGCGATGGCGAATCACCTGATCTTTATATCCAACAGAAGTTGAAGAAGGGCCAGTCACGTATCTGGAACGATATACTTAATAAAGTTTGCCTGTTCCTGCAAAGCGCTAAGCTGACGACGCTCAAGTATGACCAATTCATACAGGTGTTGTCCATCGTGCAGCGCCTGAAGAAGGTGGGCGTCGAATTTTGCAGCGAGCAGTCCGAGAAGCTGATTACAACGATGCAGCAGCAGAGCGAGGAGTTCTTCAGGCGCTATCACATTTGTTGCGTTGAGGAGATCTGCTTGTTTCTGGACAACGAGTCCTGGACGCCCTTAGATTCATTTTCGCACATACTGCAACTGCCGGTAACTTGAATCTTAATGCTAAAATTTGTCAACTATTAATATTGTTTTATATTGTGCAGGAATTCCGCTCTGTGCGGCATGCGCTGCGTCGTCATAAATCGCCAACAACTGCGCTGCTGGCCTCGAGCAACAACTCGCCCATAAGCAACAACAACTGCGACGAGCTGGTTTCTGTGCACTCTCAGGACGGTGGCGGCAGCTCAATCTATGGTTCCTATGGCTACTTTTTGCGCTTCTCGGAGAAGAGTTCGCCCTTCGATGGCGGTCTGGACGCTGCCATGCTGGAGGAGGACATACTGTCAGGCATTGTGGACGAGGCGTCCTGCTACTTTAGCGAGGAAAGTGACGACGAACAAAAGAGTCTGCAGAGCAAAGAGTTTGCCGAGGATGCCAACAAGTAAGCACCCGGAGAATGGTTTCCGTTTAGGGTAATTTAAATTAAATTCTTTGCCCTTGCCAGTCAGCTGCTTGTGAATAATACCGCTTTGAATGTGCTGCGCTGCATTGGACGCTACTTGCAGATGTGCAAGCTGCTGCACTGCATCTCGCCCAAGATAGTGGCGAGCATGCTGGAGCTGCTCGACTTTTATGCCTATGCAGTGCATGAGATCTTTGGCAAGGATGCTGTAAGTATAGATTTGCCAGCAGAGATCACATTTTTAATCGATTTCAAAATCTCAGCTGGTGGCCACAGATAATCTCTATACGCCGCGTCTGGAGCAGCGTCTGCGTGCCGTGGAATCCAATGTGCTTACACAGATTAAAGTTTGGCCCCTGAACTTCTCCTCCCTGGTGAGAAATGAATACTACTCACAATAGTTAACTATAATAATAATTGAATTCAATTGCAGATCAACAACGAACTGGCTAATCCGGACACGCTGTACGGTTTACCACAGCGCATCGTGGCTATCGAGGCTGGGCGCAGCATGTTTCAACAGTTTCATGTACTGCAGCATTACTTGAATCATTTATTGCCAGCCGGCGATCGACCAGCACTGATCAACTATCTCGAATATTCGGAATTTATTGCTGATCTGGCCAAACCAGTTTACACTTGCGTCGCATCGCGCGTCATCGATCTGTCGGCCATTCTCGCGCAAATGGCCAAGGTCAAGTGGGATGTGAATCATGTGACGCATCAGCACAGCAGCTACAGTGACGTCTTGAATCGCGTAAGTGCTAAAGCATAGCAACAGCAATCTCAGTGGAAGTAAATCTTGCATTCTCTATCATAGAATATACAGAGCTTTGCCATGTGCCTGGAGGAGATCTCCAAGGAGGTGAGCATACCCAGCAAACATGTTTGGAATGCAATGGCCCACGTGGCCACCCATTTGCTAGTGGAGGGGTAAGTTGACTACAATATTTTCCAATTTTGATTCTACTCATCCAAGGTCTTTCGTAGGTTCTCAAATGTTAAGAAATGCTCTGCTGGCGGCCGAGCCCTTATGCAATTGGATTTCGCCAATTTTATGTCGTTCCTTGAACTAATCTCGAATCAGAAATATCCGGAGCATCGCGCTTATGTGGATGTCTTCATCAAGTCTTATTATTTCTCGCCAGAGCAGTTCGAGCAGTGGATCGAACAGCAGCGACTGGGCGATGAGTATTCAGCTAAGCAATTGACAAATCTGATACAATGCGTTTGTGTCAGCGATAAGCGCACACGACAGAGGCTGCTGCAGCTGCTGGAGGGCGTGGCGACTAGTGTTACGCCCACCACGACGCCGCACAAGAATAACTATAACGCCGGCTCGAATCTGAGCAATGTTATTTAAACAAATATTTATTTATATCTCTTTCATTTAGATTGTTTATTGTATTTATTTGCTGTTATTTATAATTGTAATCAGTCGCTAACTATGTGGTCGAACCTTTGTTAGTAGTTGAATTTTCACGAACTCTATATATTTATATATATTTAAATATTACATTCCGTTAGTGCAAATTGATTAACACTTATCTGTAAGCTGATTGTATTTTAGTCACTTAAGCGATCTCCATGATGTACTTCGTTTTGTATTTCGAATCTGTGCAAAACTTGAAATCTCCTTGTTCAATCTCTATTCAAGTGCAATACGCTCTCTCTTTATATATTTAGGCAATGCACAAATTTATTAATGCTATTATTTTGCAATTTGGTTTACCATTCTCACATGACTTAAGTACCTAGAGAAAGTATATACATATACACATTCATACACAGATATCTCGAGCTAGAATTAAGGCATACGCAAAATCAATTTATACATATATTTATTTTAATACCCAATATTAATTATTTGCGAAACGGACAAATAATTGAATGCGATTACAACCAAAATTCGACCGATTTGTGGTTTACTAACAGAAAAGCGAAACATTCAAATGGATTTGTAACTAAAAACAACTAATAAAGAGTACATATTTTGAGATATGAGTATTAAATGAATGTAGTTTTAATAAACTTAGATATTTAAATGGTATAGAAAATGAAGGAAATTACATTACAGTTTTGTAGTAAATGTATTTTTTAAGCATATATAAATATATCATATAGTTAAGTATTTCGATTTCAGTTTTTATATTAAAGAAAATTAAATTATATAATTATAGATTAGATTAATATAAAGTATGATTAAATTTAAGTATTTATATCAAGTCTAGGCCTATTCGGTTAAATTATTATATCAGCAATAAGATTTCCTCTAGTCATTATTTATAAGAAAATGCAAGCCTACCATTTACGACCTATACAATATGAACAACGAATGCTCCTCCAGTCAAGCTCTACGTGAATTCCGAAGGCGTAACTATTTCGGCAGGTAACTCCCCTTGGCCAATGACTCAGCAAACTTGTCTCCCTGGCTATGGAGGCTATAAATATGCCAATAAGTCATCGGCTAGCTAACATATCAGTCTCAGACATGTCCAGGATACACTCGTACATAGTATTACTCGTATGCATAACATCGGGCTGCGCAGCTGAAGAGCTCATCCGGCAGCTACTCTTGGAGTCGAGGTCTTCATTGCTGCTGATACGCTACGACTACTGCCCAGAGAGTTGGCTGCAGGAGCTGCTTGTGGCGCCTCAGGTGCCTATCGTGATGCAGTCGATGCACGATGCCACGCCTCCTAGCAAGGACTTCTCGAGGCTGATGCAGCTAATCTGTTTGCCCAGCGAGGATTATGAGCCGCTGCCGGCTTTACTTGGGAATCTGCGTGGACCAAAGAGCATCTTTTATATAGCTCCCTCTGCTTCAACAGGCAACAGCTCTGCCAAGCGGGTGCTCAACTCGCTCCTCAGGGAATGCTATAGGCAGAAAATACTGAATGTGGTTGCCCTGCTGGCCGAGAGTGCAGATCGAGTCTACTATCGCTATCGTCCGTATCCGCGCTTTGAGCTGGAGCAGCGCTCGATGGAGCAGCGCCCCTTCTTTGCCAGCCCCCTGAAGAACATGCATGGCCAGCCGCTGATCGTGGTGCCCGACCAGAAGCATCCGCGCACCATCGTCTACACGGACTGGCGCACGGGCCAGCAAGTGCTGGCCGGGTCGGTGGGTCGCTTTGTGCGCACCTTGGCCTGGAAGCTGAATGCCACCATTCAGTTCCCCATAGAGATCAAGCCGGGCGTGGTTATGCATTTCAATGAGCTGGAGTCGCTGATCGAGCAGTTCCAAGTGGATGTGGCGGCGACGGTGGTGCAGCTCATACGGCCCGAGCAGCTGCCCCTAAGCAGCTTCCCCTTCGAGCTGAGCCACATCTGCTTGATGATTCCGCGGGCACAGCAGCTGCCCATCAAGGACATCTACCTCATCCTGGCCAGTGGCCAGCACCTACTCATCGGACTGGCCATTGTCTACAGCTTTGGGCTTCTGCTCAGCCTGCACTGGTGGCTGACTGGCCAAGCTGCCAGCTTGGTCGACTTCCTGCTGAACGATGTGGCGCTGCGTGGCCTGCTCGGCCAGTCCTTTGGCCATTCCCCGCGCAGCAGCCCCTATGCCAGCTGGATCTACCTGATGCTGGCTGTGCTGGGACTCAACCTGAGCTCGATACACGAGGCAGCGCTCGGCACGCTGCTCACTCATCCGCCCAAATACTTTCAGCCCCGCAGCTTTGCTGATATCCAACGCGCTCAGCTGCCGCTGGTCATCGATGCGGGCAGCGCGGAGGGGGACTACGGGCTGGGCACCACGAAGCTGCGTGTGCTGGCCATGAACAGCAGCGACTACAACAGCCACAGGGACAAGATGAACATGAGCCACGTCTACTTTGCCTCGCGGCTCAAGTGGACGCTGCTGAGCGAGCAGCAAAAGTATTTTCCCCGCGAGGTTTTCCTCTACTCCCTGAACGCCTGCGTCAGGACACTCACCTACATGGTCTTCCAGTTGCCCCCAAACACCTGGTTTCTGGAGCCGCTGACCCGGCTGATTATGGATGTGCGCGACTTTGGCATCTTCCAGCACTGGGTCGATATGCACTTCTATGATATGGCCGCCGCGGGCTTGCTCTCCTTCAGTGATCCCATTCAGCGGGAGCCGCCGCGTCTCAAGCAGGCGTTGCGCTTGGAGGATCTGCAATGGATTTGGGTGGCCTACGGAGCACTTTTGCTGCTCGCGACAGTCGTGTTGGCTCTGGAGATTCTCGTAAGGAAAGTGCAGCAAATGCTGTGGTTGGGTAGCTCCCATGGGGGAACCTTTAATTCCCATTAAAATCCATCACGCTGTATTCGCTTAAGTTCGTTTATTGCTTATTGATTGTCGGTAAGTAAGATAACATTATTAAGTCGGATTGAACATGATCTATGGTGGCTAGTGTGAGTGAAGCAAGAGCTGGGAGTTTCAATTGGAGTTTAGTGTTAAATCAGAGTCTGAGTTCGTTGTGCCTTAGGCCACATTGGTGTGCTCGTCACGATGGAAGATCTTCACGTCGAAGAACTTGAAGTTGTCCACCATGAAGTAGTAGTCGTGCTTGATGGGCCGGTTGAAGGGGAAGCCGAAGGGCAGAGCGTCCACATAGCGGGAGCCATGGCCAATGCCGCAGCTGACAATGGGGTCGTAGCCGGTGTATTGGGCCACAGCGGGCTCATGGTAGGGATAGACCATGTAGAAGAACTGATAGACCTGGCCGCCCTTCTTGCCCTTGGGCAACATCATGCGATTGGGCACGCCGCAGTGGGACTCGGCTTGATCCAGCTTGAATTTGTAGTCACTGTTGGTGGCATCCATCAGCTTCTGGTAGAGCTCGAAGTAGGTGGTGCGATCGTTCACCCAGAAACTGAAGTCGCCGCTGGCGCGCTTGATGTGATTGACGCCCGCATCCAGTTGCACCTTGAAGTGCTCCAGCTCGAAGAAGTTCTGATAGTTGTGCTCCAATGGGATGACATTGCCGTACTCGTCGTACTTGGGTCCAATGAATACCTTGACAACGGCAGCCTGGGCCTTGTCCGAGCTGACATCCAGGGTGAACTCGAAGGGCTTGTGGTTGAGACGGTGCTGGCGGGCCTTGATCACAAAGCCGCTGCCATTGTAGTAGGAGTTGCGGCCAACGTTGTGGTGGGCATCGCCCATGGGTATGGCGGAGTGCTCAACGTTCACGGCATTGCTAATGTCGGCATCGAAGTACTCGAAGTAGGTGGTCAGGCTCTCGGGCATGTGCACATCATCGATCTTGACACCCTCGAAGCCATAGTCGACCTTGGTGTACTCGGGGAAGGTATCCATCAGATGCCAGTAGTGGCTGAGCAGGTTCTTGTACACCTCGTAGAAGAGAGGGTCGCGCATGGATGTGTCGTAGTGCATGAAGGTGCCGGGGTAGGTCTCGTGGTACTGGTTGTACGGATGTCCCTCGTTCACGATGTAGCGGAACCACTTGTCCAGGCTGCCGTAGAACTGCTTGTCGATGCTGTCAGCGTTGCCCTGCAGAATGTTGCCGAGCATGTTGACAATCTCGACGTCGTATTTGTCGTTCTTGTGAATCCAGTCCATGATGCGCTGAGAGTACAGCTCCACATTCTTCACATACTCGAGATTCTCGGGCGTGTAGAAGCTGTAGTAGTTGGGACGGCTGGGATACGGAACGCCGTTGTAGTCGCGCAGGCCGCTGTAGAAGCCGGAGTGGACGGGCTCGTACATGTTGAAGGTGGGCACCTCGCCCATGTCGTTGGACAGACGCTCCAGGTAGTAGCGGGCCAACAGCTGCCAGTGCACATAGAGGTAGAGTTCGCCACGACGGTCCTTGTTGAGGACATGCACATCGTCGCCCTTCGTCCAGTAGGGGTAGTCCAAGTTGAAGTAGTAGTAGAAGCTGTTGAAGCCAATGTCCTCCAGGAAGTAGGCCAGACTGTGCTCGTCGTTCATGTTGCCGTAGACGTTCGTGTAGTTGGACTTGAGCACCACGTTGTAGACATTGTTCAGCTGCTTGACGTGATGGAAGCCGTGCATCTTGTAGTGCTCGGCCATCTCCAGGGTCTCGCTGTCAAAGAAGCTCCAGGGATGGATCTCGTAATGGGCCGGGAAGACAATGCCTTGCATATCGTCGCGGAACAGGCTGGCGATGGTGAAGGCATAGACAAAGAGCTGTTTGTTCACATGCTGGCGGGCCCAGAAGACGACGTGCTGGAAGGTCTCCCAGTTCTTGGCGTAGTAGAAGAGACGCACCAGACCAACGGCATACTCCTCATGCAAATCGTACATAACGGTCCACATCTGGTCATCGCCGAACGGGTGTTGCTGCCAGAGCTCGAAGAAGTGTTGCATCTTCTCGGGATGGTGATAGTCGCTGACATGCTCCCAGGGCTTGTATTCGTAGAAGCTGCTATCGTACCGCCTGACGAAGACATCATCCTGATAGATATGCTCCAGCATCTCAAAGACGAACATCTGCTTCATCAGGAAATCCTTGTCGGCCACCTTGGACTCCACATGCTTGCCCTGGCCGCCGAGAGCCAAGAGCGTTAGCGTCAAAACAATAACCGCCGTGATCGACTTCATCGTAATCATACCAATGCACTGCCACTGCAGCCTCCATTTATACCTGAGCGGCGGCTCGCAGTCGGATGGGGGGGCCAACGTCCGAGTGCTGATATTGCCTTGACATTATCAGAGATCCGTTCAACCTCATTGCTATATGCTGCACCGTGCATTGAGATAAGCCCCAATTGCACCTGGTTCTGCACTGATTGACTGCTTGACAGCGATCTCGGGCGAGCTCAGTCTGGGAGGCTCGACTGATCAGTTGTGTAAGTAATGCCAGCTAATTACAGCGCCTGGTAGCCCGATTACATCGCCGGGCTAACTCGCTTTTCTTTTCATTTGCTTTTCTTTTACGACATCACCTGAGGGTCAGCCAGCGGTCGGGCCAGGCTGATGCTTTGTTGCTTATCAATGCGCCGTAGCCGTTGCCGTTGCCGTTGCCATCGGGACTAGCTAATTCTAAAAATATGCACCTACTGCGGCGCACATTTTTTGAAACTGCAAAACAATAATCATATCAGTAGACAACAAAGAATTATGGAACTGCAAGAGCAGCGGATGCGCGTCTTAGCATTAGGGGCTATACACCCATTAAATCTAGCTCCGAAATATGGTTTATGCGTCGGGCAGATTCGAGATATGAAAGTGTGTGAAATTGTGATATGAATACAAATCTAGTAAGGGAAGAAATGCAATGACATGTGTTGTAGTTACAGAACTTGTTAATCTCTTAGATAATCATCTTGCATCTTTATTGTTTGGATATATAATTGTAGCAAATACATTGACATTAGCTTTTCTTCTAGCAAAGATCTTAGTCTCTAATATTTTTATTCACTCAAAGAATGCCTTCTCCGTTCAACTCAACCCGCTCTCCAACGTCCTATAGAGTATACTAGAACCTCGCCCGCAAATGCCAGCACACAAATATTGACACTGACAATATAGATCAGCCAATAGTAGTAGAGGTCCTCCCAGCGCAAATGCATGCTGCTCGAGGTATCCTTGTAGGGCAGTTGCTTGGTCTTGCCAATCGCAAGCAGATCGTAGAAGGATTGGGTGCGCCAGTGGGTGTACAGGCCGCTGTCTTGGGTGTTTAGAATATATCGATTGATGGCCCCTTTATAGATGGAGTTGGAGTGCAAGCGCAGAGCAAAGTGCACAAGCGGAATTAAAACCAGTTCCTTGGAGAGGCGAAAGGCGGCCTGCTCTTGCCGGATGAACTTCATTTTGATGTGGGGCCAGAGCGTTTGGGTAATGGGATAGGCATAGGAGGTGTTCGGCTTGCTGCGGCTCGTCTGATACACCGATGTGCTTACCATCTCGTATAGATCCGAGTTGGCGTTATATCCACGTTGGCCGAGAACAAAGGTAAGTGCTCCCTTGTCGGGCTCTGATATCATGAGCTTGAGTCCCGCTCTACGCATATCCTGATAACTGAGTATCGGCGGATCGAAGGGTGGATGCACCAGGAGCGTCTCCAGATTTGTTATGTAAATGTTGTAGCATACAAAGCTGCCCATCAGTAGCACGGCCAGTGTCCACCTGAGACGCAGGCTGGAGGATCGCGGCATCGAAAACGTTTGGGAGAGCATGGCCCTCAGCACGGGATCAAAGATGACCCACAAACACATGAGGCTGGGCGCCATGCCCAGCTCGAAGCGGCGAATATTGTGAATGACCAGGGCGTAAATGGACATTAGAATGAAGATGCACAAATTGAGGAGCTTTGCCCCGCCGCCAACGACGAGCAGGGCGCGACTTATCTGGGATTCGACGGGCAGCATTATCTGCCACTTTGACAGTTCCACTATATGGGAGTGATTTCGATGGCTTGGCGTAAAGCCAAGATTCGTTATGAACATCGGTATATCCACTCTTCCAGCGCGCATCAGGTCGTTCAGAAAACTTATGTTTACTATTTCATTCTCTTCAGGCGCATGATCCCAATAAACATGAAGAGTTGCATTCAAAGTCTTGACAAAGCTTTCAACAAACGGCGCCAGATAGCCAGTTAGTTGATAGGATCCATTTCCATCCTTGTATATAACGCTGCGTGGGAATATGTTGTCCGATACAGTGGTAATGGGATAGCCACCCATATCCTTCAGTTGAGGCTCGAAGTATCGTTCGATCTGATCAACCTTTCGCATAACTAGTGTAAATTCAGGAAATGATCTGTAACTATATATTTCTTCCAGACTCCAATTGCCTATCGCCAGTACATTAAGCATCTTGTTCTCTAAACACTTCCTAAACAAAGATTCCATATCCACTTCATTTGTAATCATAAATATGGTCCGAGTATTTCGAATGGATTCCAGATTTTGATAGAGCGCATTCAAAATGACTTCGTTTTCAGTTTCCAAGCAAACCAACGCTAGAAATTGTATATTAAAATGAGTTTGAAGCTGATATTTTTTATTGACATTAAGATAAATAACCGGCGTAACAGCATTATCTTTAACTTCAATCGAACAATCCGTGGATTTTTCGCGCAATAAAAGAACAGTCTCAAAGGCAACCTCGACTTTTAATTGGTCGAATACTTTGCTGGGCAGTTGAATTTGTGCCCTGGCTAAGCAGGCGAAAATAGCCAAATAAATTAAAACTTTATTCCCCATTTTAATGACCTATGCGAACGTTAACGTAGAGTTCAACTGGTTAAAATCGCCCCCCATTAGTCCTTTTATTAGAAATCCGAACAGAAATTGCTACAGCGGGCAGCCTAATTAAATCTAATTGCAGATTTATATCACAGCAATTAATAAATGCGAGTTTTTACTTCAAATTTCCATTAGGTAAACAAACACGCCTAACGGTCGGAGAATGTTTTTATATCAGTCATTCAAACTTTAAGTAAGGAATCAATCAGTAGCAGAAAGTAAAAAATAAATTGTCAATGTGCAGAAGTAGAAGAAGAATGTGATATATATTTACAATTATTAATAAAAATAGCACCTGTTGTTCTACTGTCTGTTTCCATTATTTAAAAAGTCCGCCTCACCATACGATTACTTTTCGATAAATCAACAATGATGCTATCGCAAGAATGAGATTTGCGCAACCAATAAAAAAATTCAGCGACGTGGGTATTGCTGCACTGCGTAGATGTGGTCACACTTGTGCAACCAAAGCAAAGTAAAATAAAAAAGCGTGGAAGTAAGACTAACCGAACCGCCTGCGATTTATAAACATATTCATAAGAATACGAGCGACGACATTACAAAAACAAAATATATAAAAAAAAATATTAAAATATAGGGCAAGTGGAAAGTCTCAACAAAAAGCGTGAATTGGAGTTAAATGGTAATTGCCGAACATTATGATAAAACAGGGTGTCGGCAATGTGAAATTGGCACAGAATAATAACTTATACTTTGTTGCTGTAGTTGTGTAATATTTAGAATCGTGCGAATGGCAGAAGACAGCAACAAACACTATGAAACATCGCCTGATATCGCAAATCTGCGTGAATATGTGTGAGAATGGGTGTGTGTGACTGTGCGTATATCGCGTATGTGTGAGAGAAATTTAAATTGCGCTGTTCGAATAAAAAAAAAGAGCGAGTGAGCGTTGACAGTTACATTTATTTATTTTATGTTTGACATTAATATAGCGTGCATTTAATTTTCGGCATGATTATTTATAAATCTTATTGTACTCTTTTCCTTATACTTTTAGGCGTAAAGTGAGAAACCAACGTATTTCTCATGCGCAACTAAACAACATTAACAAATACAAAGATACATACAGAGTAGACAGTGATTCGGAAATTCAAAATTACATACATACATTGAAGAAACTTTGGAATTGGACTGGCAGCCGATAGCCCCAAACAGCGCCCCCCACCCAGCAATAACAACATTAGGCCAACAACATGAATGTGCTACTGCTGCCCAAAGGATCCACGCAACTAAAGTCGCATTATGCGATGCATAACTTCTACAAGCGCTGTAAGTTTGTCTGCTAACCACGCAATGGAATGAAAATCGTATAAAACTTTCCATTGATTTTACCCCATATATTTGCGGTGTGAGCTTGTATGTGTGTGTGTGTGCTTGAGTTTAGGTATCGCAGCCTGTGTCTGTGTGCGTGTGTATGTTTTTTGTGCGCTCGCCTTTTGTCGTTGTTTTTGTTATGACTGCATATTCGTGCACAGCTGATTCCATGTTTGCGTGCACAACAAAATTTCCCTGTTGCGCTTGTTTTGGTATTTTTGTATAAGCTGTAGGGCAATTTTCTGGATAACCTATATATGTATGATTTGAAACACTTTTCGCACTTACAGGTAGTTAATTGCCTTTGTCAACAAGTTAGTTAATGACAAAGGTGTGCAATATATATGTATCTGCAGTGCATATATAATATATTTTGATATAGTTGCCGGTGTATGGGTCATCTGCTGTTTTTTATACGTGCCGTTATCGTGTTTTATATAATTCAGCATTTATTATTATTCTTTTTCCACTGAGACGCGTCACTTGACGCGCTTATCGTCTGCTCAAAAAGTGAGATTGACCAAAAAAGTAAACATCTAAACCGGCTGGCTAATATAACTATAGGCAGATAAGGTTTAAAGAAGAATTAAGGCAAAGTACGTTTGCTTTTAGTGAGCGGAATATTTATGCAAGCTTTACCTATACTAAATAAACGATAATTTTTCATTGCTTGCAAAAGAATTTCACGTAGGCTATTTGCTCATCTCTCAATTTATACACAACATTCACAATATACACAAGTGTAAGTGTGTGCGTGTGTGTGTTTAACAAGCAAAAGGGACAAGTGCCAAGCGCTCAGGTGTACAGACAGACAAAATGACGCCAGCGATTGCTGCTGACGCACAAAAGCGACACCCTGTATGTTGTAGTTGAAAGAGAGTACAGTTAACTCACACACACACACATACACATGTACATGGATCAGTTGCACCCACACAATTTGCTCGGCCATTGGCCGAAGGTTGAATGCATTTCGCTATTGTGCTCTATCGCCTTTCTTTTCTTTCTTTTCTTTCTTCTACACACACACGCAGCATGTTTATTTTTCCTTGAATTCGCATCTGATGCATTGTTCTGAGAACTTGCCAAATTGTAAGAAAAATCAGAAATACAAAATTGAAAGTGCATCAGATTGTTTTTTCTAAGAAATCTTATGGTACTTTCGTTAAGTTTAGTTTTCAACTTATATAAATTTTTTTTTGCGTATATTCGACCGCAACAGGTGTTAATTTAGTTGATTTTATTTTTCGCTCTCCCTTGCTCTCCGTGTCTCTCTTTTGTTCTGTTTGACTTGTGAGCTTATCTGGGCTTATAATCAAGTGGAACTAACTTTTCGATTAACGCTTGACAAGTTTTAATGGCCGAAGCCATAAAAAGGCTTAACCCAATTTGTTTTTATTTGTTGCCTATTCAATTGAGCATCTATTTGAAATAATTTCTCTCGCTATTACCTTGACAGAGCAAATGATGTGTGTATAAATACGACTATCGGTTGCTTTACTAAAATTCTCTTATTTATATAATGTATTTATAGGCAAGAATTTGCTGTACTAAAACTTGGCCAACTTCTCTCAATACTTATAGATCTCAGAACGAGCCACAATGCCTATTGTACAACGAGAAAAGTCCAGCACAAAGCGGAAGACTCAGTTTCACAGTCATGGAACGTCCGGCAAAGGAGAACGTTTACTGGCTACTCACTGAAAACCGGCCCGCGTTATTACCAATCAGATCAGTTCTGTAGCTATGGCCTGCGGCATATTCACATCGGTAGGCCGCTGTTTGAGTCGAGCTCAAAGATCGATGCCACTGTGAAGAAGCTGAAGAATCAGCAGAAGGAGAAGGTCGAGGAGATCATGAAGGAGGTGGCCAATGGACAGGCGATTAAGGGAACTGGTTCGGCTACCCCGGTGACCTCCACGATACTCGACGGCACCGCTGTAGACCCGAGCGCAACAGCTAAGGCTAGCGCCTCTGGCACAAAGACGGCTAGCGAACTAACAGAGGCCCCATCCAAGGCAGTGGCCAAGCCAAAGAAGCCGCTCACACAGCGTATTTGGGATGAACTGGTACACTATTATCATGGCTTTCGGTTATTATTCATTGATACCGCCATTAGCTCGAAGTTGGTGTGGAAGGTACTCAATGGCAAGACGCTGACGCGACGCGAAAACAAGCAGCTGCAGCGCACAACATCGGATCTGTTCCGATTGATCCCATTCTCGGTGTTTATTGTGGTGCCGTTTATGGAGCTGCTCTTGCCGGTATTTATAAAATTCTTTCCGGGCATGCTGCCGTCCACATTTCAAACGGCCAAGGATCGCCAGGAGCGACTAAGGCAGTCACTGACCGTCCGTCTGGAGGTAGCAAAATTCCTGCAAAAAACTCTCGGTCAAATGCCTGTCCAGCACAAGGAGCACAGCAGCGAGGAAGCCAAACAGTTCGAGACATTCTTCCGAAAGATCCGGAATCCCACAGAGCAAGTGAGCAACGATGAGATAATCAAGTTTGCCAAGCGTTTCGATGACGAAATCACATTGGATTCGCTCAGTCGAGAGCAGCTATCAGCGCTCTGCCGTGTACTGGAGCTGAACACGATTGGCACAACGACCTTGCTGCGTTTTCAGCTGCGTCTCAAGCTTCGCTCTCTGGCCACCGATGATCGGGTAATAGCGCGCGAAGGCGTCGACTCGCTCGATCTCTTCGAATTGCAGCAGGCGTGCAAGTCACGTGGCATGCGCGCCTACGGCCTAACAGCGGAGCGCCTGCGATTCCAACTCAAGGAATGGATTGACTTATCACTAAATGAACAGGTAAGGGCATCAGTATAGCCTTCATGTATTTCTTATTATATTAACCATGCGTGAGTTGCTTCCAGGTACCACCTATACTTTTGTTATTGTCACGTGCAATGCTCATCTCTGATGACAGCATCACGACTGATAAGCTGAAGGAGACAATGCGTGTACTGCCGGATGCTGTAGCCGCTCACACACGCCATGCGATTGGCGAGCGTGAGGGCAAGGTCGATAACAAGACCAAGATTGAGATCATCAAGGAGGAGGAGCGTAAGATTCGTGAAGAGCGCGAGGAGGAGCACGAAGAGACGCTGCGCACCGCCGGCACGGATGAAGCTCCAGCGCCGTTTATATTCACTGAGGATACTAATCAGAAGTTGCATTTGGATAAGAAATCCGAGGCATCAGATGAGAAGACCATTTCGCCGACAGATGTGCAATTGCTATCAGATGCACTGAAGACGCTTTCCTCTGATAAACAGCTTGTTGTGGAGAAGGAGACGATCAAGGAGCTTAAGGAGGAGCTGCGCGACTATCAGGAGGATGTGGAGGAATTGCGAGAGGTGCGCCAGGTGGTCAAGGAACCGGTGCGCGAGAGTCGAGCTGCCAAGCTACTCTATAATCGTGTCAACAAGATGATCTCGCAGCTGGACACTGTGCTTCAAGACTTGGAGCATCGCCAGCAACAGATTAAGCAAGTCGATACCCCTGACAGCGCGCCCACATCTGGTGCCAGTCCCAGCCAATCGGTGCACATTGACGAACTGGTGGCTACAATCCGACGCATGAAGGAGGCCTCTGACGAGGAGCGATTCAAAGTCGTTGAGGATTTGCTAATCAAACTGGATGCTGACAAGGATGGTGCTGTCTCAGTTAACGAGATCACCAAGGTGGTGCAAAGCATCGACAGTGCGGCCACCAAAATTGACAAACAACAGCTGGAGGAATTCACTGAGCTACTCACAAAGCAAGCACAGAAGCGACGCAACGAGGAAATTGTCCACATTGACGATCTCATGATGAATATCAAGAAGCTAAAGGAGACCAGCGATGAGGCCCGCATCAAGCACATCGAGAGTGTCCTAGATAAGTTTGACGCTGACAAAGATGGTGTCGTTACTGTCAACGATATACGAAAGGTATGTAACGTGCCTTGGTTCAGTTAGTCCAAATTAACATTGAATGCACTTGCAGGTGTTGGAGTCCATTGGTCGCGATAATATCAAACTTAGCGATAAGGCTATAGAGGAGCTCATTGCTCTGCTGGACAAGGAGCAGATACTGGAGGCAGAGCAAAAGATTGAGAAGGCAATTGCGAAGAGCATGAAGGAAGCGGAAAAACTTAAATTGGAGGTGGAGAAAACGGATAAGGATATGGCCAAACTGGTCGACGGTATACACGATTCGGCGAAGGAGATACGCGACATAGCCACCGAACTGGGAGCAATGGAGCAGGAGAGGCCCACTCCCCCAAAGCCAGAAGTAAATGAGGTGTAGCTTAAAATTTAAGCGAAGATCGTCCTAATGCTTGAGTTGTTTCTTTTATTCACAGCCCGACATGAAAGACCCCGCTAAAGTATTGAAAGATAATGCGAAGGAGCTGGGTGATTTGCTAGTAAAGTCCCCAAAGAACAACAACAAAAAAGGGGGAAAGGACACACCACCAACACCGAGCAAAGGCAACAGCTCCGGCAGCAATAGAAACAACTGCAAGAAGGCCACCGATAGCGAAATGTCGATACCCAAGATAGCGATGCGCGAGGCGGCCGAAATTCAAATCGAAAAGCTATTGCCCCAAAAGGATATCGATCTGCCACCAACGATACCCACACAAACACCGACCCAGTCCAAGGTGGCTACCTCACCGAAAGCGGCGGCGAATGGCACTTCCGGCACCCCCAAGAAATTGATCTGACCGGCTGAGCCGAAGGCGAAAGCAATACATGAAGAATACCCAGAGCATTCACCTAGGGCAAAATGAGATCAGAAAGTCAACCCTTTGTCCAAATTGATTCGAGTTGCATTCAATATTAATAATATTAAAACAGGAAATGCATAGAATAGTAATTCAATAGAAAATCTGTATTTAGTTAGATCCCAGGCAAGAGCTCCTTTGGAAGGCTGTATTAAGTATGTGTAAAAGTTGCCCAAATTATAAACTATTGCTTAAAATATACATATATACAGAATTTGGGTATGTTAAACGAATACAATGGCAGAACTACCTTAAAACTATTTACTTTCATTTTCTACCGCCTTAGTTATATACTACTTTCATGTGCTGGTCCATCAAATACTTGACTCTATGATAATGTTAGCGATTGTGATCATTAAGTGAAATCTTAATTTACATATTATTTCTAATATAAAACCTAACGTAGCAACAACAACCACAATGTCAAACGATTTGAATTCAGTGGAATTTCAACATAAAATATAAAGTGTTATCACAAAAATCAATTAAATGCAAAAGCGAAGCGAAAAGCACGTGATACTTTTCTGTAACAACAATAAATACTATATGCTTAACTGAATTAGATAAACAATGTGTAAAAGTGTTAATTTGCAATAAGAAATAAACAAATAACAAGTTACACACACACACACACGTAATGGAGATTTAATTTAAGGAAAAAGTTCTCTCAAGTGTGTGAATTATAGAATATGATGGGAAAATCAAAGGTTCTAGATGAGGTTTATGTAAAACTACTTTATTTGATAATTATAAAAATAAAGGAATGATTTTACAGTCTGATGATATATACAAGTATTTTATAAGCCCATTTGGTTCATATTTGCTTGATTTTGAATAAGACAATGATTCAATGAGGCTTTTGAAGAAGTTTTTTGCTGAATATATCTGGTATATTTGTTAAAATTATCTATGTTAAAATGGTATGGAATGGATTTGGAACAAATTTTGTATGTAATAGCAGATATGCTTACACATATTAATAAGAAATTTGTTAAATGTTAAGTAAGCAGAAATATTTTTTGTACAATCTAATCAAATGTTCTTTTGGCGGAAGTTTACTGCGATGAATATATAGATATAATGCTATATAATCAGAGGTGTCTTTAAAGTGATAGAAAGAGTGAGTATATAGGCTCTGCTCTTGATGCTAATAAGGTATATAGACAGAGTATGCAGTTTGTGGGGTTAGAGCTTTTGAGTGAATAGTTCAGACTGCCTCAACACATAAACAATAAGAGCTAATGTCTAGGTCTAATATCTCTGTCTATTTGTGTACAGTTCATATATAAATCATACATTCAACGAAGTTATTATAAAGCTGACAAAACTAATCTGTTGAGAAAGATAAATAGAAATAAATTTAATTTAATGAATTAGTTATTAAAAAAAAGAGCAGCTGCCAACCATGTTTTATATTTATATACTTTTTTAAATATATTCGTATAAGTAATGCTTGAGCTGCTAGTAAACCAATGCTCTTCAAATTCACTTGCTATTCAGCTGCATTAGGAAAAATGTTATACTCTTATGAGCCACTGTTATTTCTGACTTGAACTCATAATTACAAACTATTGTAAATGCTTCGAATTCCTACATCCGAATTCTTTATTAGCTCTAAATACATTTGCAGTATGTGCGCAAAGTTCTCTTTATTTGAGTAATCTCAATGCTTCACTCGAGCTGGCTGTAATTCCCTAGTGCCAACCGCAAAACCAAATTTCGCCATGGATGTGGGAGGATGGGGGCGATGATGGAGACGATGCAACCGAATAAGTTTTGAGCAATTGCCAAAAAAATAGAATGAAAAAAAAAAAAAAAAAAATCCAAATAGAAAGAATGAAAAATATGAAGAAAACAAAACAATAACAACATCCATATGCTGGGCAATAAAACTAATAAATATTACCGCAAAATGTGCAAGGAGTCCATAACTTTCCAGCTAAACCACTGACCCATAAATTCTCTTATAATTTTACTCGAGCAAATGCGCTCTGCCATTGGCATGGAATTTAGTTGGATACTTGGGGCTAGAAATGGGGCAGCATCAATGCAAAAATTATGATTTACTCTTTCAATTTCACTGCGATTACACTTTGACCCTTTGGCAATTTCCAGGGGAACCCATATTTAATGAACTGCACAATATTTGTTGATTTGCAACGTTTTTCTGTTTGATTATCGAACAAAGGGAGTAATTGGATTCAGGTGTGCTTGTGCTGCAAAAGTAAGAACTGTTATACCTGGCATTCAAATATTTATATATTACAGGTTATAGCGATTGCTCTACTCGACTATCATTGTGACCATTGCGGTCACAGACTATTTTAAGAGGTACCACATTAACTATTATACTCACTGTTATATAAAATGTTCTACTTGACTATTTTAAGAGGTGCCACATTAACTATTATACTCACTGTTATATAAAATGCTCTACTTGACTATCAGAGTAACTGTCCCATTCACCATTATGCTCACTGTTCTATAAAGTGTTCTAATTGACTATTTTAGCAACTGTCCTATCAACCATTATACTCACTCTTATATAAAGTGTTCTACTACACTATTTTAAGAGGTACCACATTAACTATTATACACACTGGTATATAAAATGCTCTACTTGACTATCAGAGTAACTGTCCCATTAACCATTATGCTCACTGTTCTATAAAGTGTTCTAATTGACTATTTTAGTAACTGTCCTATCAAGCATTATACTCACTGTTATATAAAATGTTCTACTTGACTATTTTAAGAGGTGCCACATTAACTATTATACTCTCTATCAGAGTGACTGTCCCATTAACCATTAAACTAACTGTTATATAAAATGTTTTACTTGACTATTGTAGCAGCTGTCATATTAACTATTATATTCACTGTTATATAACATGTTCTACTTGTTCTACTTGTTATATACAATTTTTTTCTTGACTTTTATAACTGTCCTATTAACCATTATACTTACTGTTATATACCCTTTTTTTACTCGACAATTATAACTGTCCCATTAACCATTATTTAAACTGTCCCATTATAACAGCTGCCGCATTAACTATTACACTGACTGTTATACACAATTTACTAATTTCTTTCATTAATTCCAATTTACTTGTCATATTTGACTGTTATACTGACTGCTCAACCCTCACACTCAGTTGCCATACAATAATTTACTTTGCTGTCAGCTTATCCGCTTATGTGTATGCCCGAATGGTCCCCGGAGATGTGAAGGCATTTCACTAAAGTTTCAATCATTTACAAATCCCAGACCGAGAGCCGCCGTGGACAGACAGCGCGAAGAGTTTTGCCAACTGAGTAAACATTGGATGGCCAAGTTTGGTCGTCGATGATATCGAATACAAATAAAACTCAAACGATGCAACAAACAAGACCAAAGCGAAATGTGTTTAAAGGTAAATAGAAGCTTGAAAAATGTGAAACAAGCCAAATAATAATAAACTTCAGCTCCATCGGGAGCTGCGGCGGGCCAAGTGAGAATTGTTGTTTGCAATCAAGCAGTACTCAACAATAACAGCCATCGGGAGGGGGCGGGACGAGGCGAGTTGAGGCGAGCTGAGGCGCTTCAGCAGTAGTTCGAGCAACTGTCTGTGTCTGCCTGTGCAGCAGAGGAATGCGCAACGGAGCTGGAGCTGGTGTTGGGCCAAAGTTTGTCCAGCTAAAAGTGCTTGAAATGCAACAATGGCATTCGAAAAGCTGCCTTCAATTGGCGAGAATCCGGGCAAGGCGAATTCAAAGTGGTTCCTCATCAAATAAAGTTAATAAAGTGGACTGACCGAAGCCACTCCATATGCCATTCCAACTCTAACTTTAACTCTCTCTCTCTCTCTCTCTCTCTCTCTCTGTCTCTCTATCTTTCTCACTCTGCTACTTACTCAATTAAATAAAACCGAATCGCTGTAGGAAATGTCATGAAACAATTAAAAACTTGTGCCCTTCCATGAGTCAATCAGCGTGCAACGCAATAAGTAGCTCTAGTTGAACAACTTTGCACTTGCTGCACTTGCAACACTTTAAATGCCCCACGAGACACCGCCGCCGCACGCACATAAAGAAACACGCAGACAGTACGAGAGCGGTGCTGGTAGTGGTAGTAGTGTAATGCATTTTATAGTGGCGCTCAAATCAAGAAAAATTGTCATTGCAAATTCAAAGTGATTGAAGCTAAAGCGAAAACTAAAGTTGTTAAAGCTAAGCCAAAGCGTTGAATGCTTTCTAGAAACTTGAATTAGCTGTGAAATAAAAGAAAATTTTTGTGTATTTTTCTTTATTAATTAAAAAAAATATATTTATATAGAATCTTCTATTATTCCTGAAGGTTAAATTTGCTGTGAAACAGAAGACAATTTTTATATACTTTTATATTAATTTTTGTTAAAATATTTATATAGATTCTCCTATTATTCTAGAAAGTTGAATTTGCTG